GTTGCTTAATTTTATCTTGTTGCTTGCACTTTATATTTCCACTCTAACTTTGTGTTTGAATATTTTACATCATGTGAGTGCAACTTCCATTCCATCAAGGTGAGGTAATATCGTTTCAATTTCTCTTTGAAAGTAAGATTTTCCTTAATGCATGTTACTTATAAATTTTCAAAAATGATTGATATTTTCACAAATGATGAAAACCATGAATGTTCATTTCCAAAAAAAAAATTGATTGATAACCATTGTGTGTTCTTAATCTACATGCTTATAATGACTTCTTGTATTAATTCTTTCATATTTATATCAATTTGTTCTTGTTGTGCAAGCATATGTTTTGTTTATTATTTAATTCTTGCACTTGTGCTTGAGCTTATTGTATGCGTGTTATTTGCCATATATGTTTTTTGTTGTGTTAACCATATGGTGTGATATAATTTCTCATTTTGGTTTTAGTAGTGACGTATTCTTGTCCCTATGCTAGGCACATGCGTGTGCGGCTTCGGGAATTTCATTATGATGTGTTATGTTATCGTGTGCTATAAAAGCAACATGACAAATTTGTTATTTCACTGCGTGTTTATTCTTTATGCATGGCATTACATTGGTTGTAATGTTGATTGTCAACTATTTATCAATTTCGCATTATTAGGATATGTGATTCTTGCTCTTCTATGTAAAAACGCCTCTGAGTGATATACTAGTATTTATATTGGATTATGATACTTCTCACGGTTTGCTCTCTTCTTTTTGATGTTGCAAAAGGGGGAGAAGTATATGTGAGACAAAGTAGGGAAGCACAAAGTCAGGGGGAGCCTTCAATAAATACAAGAAATGCTTCATCGGAAGTTTCTCCATCGTCAAAAAGGGGGAGTATGTGAGTACAACTTTGTCATTAGATGTTTTGCATGATGTAAAAACTAGAAAAAGCTAGAACTTTTATACATTAGACGGTATCTCTATGTCTGGTGGCACTCCTCTACATTAGAGGTCTTAGGAATCATTAAAAATTATTTCGAAATCGATCCAAGTCATTAAAACAGGTTTTTGCATAAATTTTCATTACATGTGTCGATACATACGAATTTCAGGTTAACACATGCAACTCAGTTTTGAAGCATGTAGCCTCTAGAAGGCTCAGGTCAACACATGCATTGCATAGGTCGACACATACTGAAGCATTTCTGAAATTGGAGAAATTCTTATTTTATGTATCTACACATACGATTTCAGGTCGACACATTTACTGTTGTTTTAAAGCCTGTAGCCTCTTACTTGTTTCGGTCAACACATACCTTCTTTCAGGTCGACACATACAGCTTAAACTTGATATATGTGTCGATACATATGATTTATAGGTCGACACATACTTATTGTTTTGGTAAATTTTTAAAATCTTTTTAATTCTGAATAAGTCCTTTTTGCCCTAAATTTCCAAAACTATAAATACATCATTCATAACTTGGTGATATCATAAAATTAGCCTGCATTTGCTCTTCATCTTCAACCTCTAATCTATGCATACACACTGACATTTCATTATAACAATGTTTTGTTTGGGTGTCATCTAGACGAGGTTTAATAATGTCCGATTAAGTTCTTGTGTAGCCGAAGATATTTGTAATTTATTCCCGTTTATAAAAATATTTGTAATTTATTCTCGTTTATAAAAATAATTGTATCAACAATTGACTTTTTTCCCGTTTATAAAAATATTTATAACTTATTCTCGTTTATAAAAATAATTGTACCAACGGTAGATTTTTTCCCGTTTGAAGAAATATTTGTAACTTATTCCCGTTTATAAAAATAATTGTATCAACAATTGATTTTTTCCCGTTTATAAAAACAATTGTATCAAAGGTACATTTTTTCCCGTTTAAAAAAATATATGTAACTTATTCTCGTTTATAAAAATAATTGTATCAACAAATTTTTTTTTTTCGTTTTTAAAAATATTTGTAACTTATTCTCGTTTATAAAAATAATTGTATCAACCGTTGTCGTTTTCTCGTTTATAAAAATATTTGTAACTTATTCCCGTTTATAAAAATAATTGTATCAGCAGTAGAGTTTTTTCCGTTTATAAAAATATTTATAACTTATATTTGTTGGAGCGATGTAGCGGCAAGCAACAAAAGTTTTGGAAATATTTATCTAGGAATTTATCGTGTCCACAGATATTGGTTATTGAATTGTCGTTCGATAAATCTCTCGTTAATGAGTTTGGGGATAAATGGGTTTGTAAAGAAAATGTTATCAACAGAAAATAAATGTAAACAAAAATAAAAACTAAGGGAAAACTTATCAAGCTTGCATATAATCTACTCATCACAGACTTAAATCTATCGACCAATTACATTCAACCTAACAACTCATCAATGTCACTGTGTATCACTCACAACCTAAGTCATTTTTAACCCAAATCGAGAAATCGACTGTATCACCAAAGAAATGATCTCTCTACCTCCTCAACAACACAGAAGACAACTATGTAATCGCACTGACGATCTCTCAGTACAACACAACCACACAGAGGCATTAACTTCTGATACCCAAGTAGATGTCACCTCTAAATCTATCTCTAGAGTTTAGAAACTAACAGATAATCATCTTAGATAAGAATCTAAACAGTATATGTCTATAACAACTCAAATCCCTAGCACAGAGCAGAAATCCAGGACAACAATTAATAAAGATTTATAAAGCAAGTTTAATATAACGCCATGGGCGACAAATATACATGAGTTCAAAGTAAATACATATACAAACTCAACACATAAAGAATACACAAAGAGGAAGAGAAATGAACCACAAATCTACCAGTTTGTCAGTGTCAATTGATGAACAATCCACCCCGAATCATCTGTATGCAAGCTTCAATGTTATTTTCTAAGCCTTAACTATTAAAAAATGGAGGATGGAGTTGGGGTCAAAAATACCTAAAACCATACACAAAAAATGTGTTTTTACACCTAAATACGCATTTATGACTGTTCAGCATCGCCCGGCGACCAAAAAGCATCGTTCGCGACCAAAACTGCTTTTTTCCCACGCTACAGCTTGCCTAGCGTCGCCCCGCAACCAAAAACGCGTCGCCGGACGACGGATGACAGTAAGTTGAAAAAACCAGCACAACATTCTGCATTATTTCGGCCATAACTTTTGAACTGTAACTCCGATTTGCATCCGTTCGAAAGCGTTGGAAAGCTTATTCAACGTTCTATCTAACAATGTTTAAATATCAATGCTTGGATACCTATAAAAATGAGATAAAATCAATTAAACTCAATAATAATTACACAATAACGCAATAAATACACTATAACGCAATAAATACACTATAACATAAACTATATCGAATATACACTAAAGTTGAGATTTATTGACAAAAAACAAACGAATTAAGCTGATGAGTGCTAATTATTCACACTTAAATTCACAATAATTTAACACTCATCAAACTCTTCCCAACTTAAAACATTGTTTGTCCTCAAACAAAGTCAAATAAACTTAAAGAAGCAAAAGACGATAATCAAAGAATCACGAATCAACAGGTTTTGAAAACAGAAAACAAATGCAATGGTTCAAATGAAAAACAATACACACAAAGTAAACACTTAACACTAAACTACGACTATAACATTAACACGAAATAAATACTAAATACAAAAATAATGTCAAACATTCTAAAAAAAATACTAGTTCACAAATGAATCACACCTAACAAATATAATCATCAGTAGATGAAAACACACACAAATGGAGTATTTTCACTCATCCAACAATCTTGCAATCAATAGACTAAATTATGCATTCATCCAAAATTTTACATTGAAAATATAAAAGTAAGAATCTTAAGGACTTTTCAAGATTGTAATGTAGCTTGTCTAAACCTAAGGGAGTAATTACTTCCACAAAACTTCAAACAATAAAATTTCAATCAAACTTCTTCTTCATCCCAAATTTCAAACCAACACACATCACTTATTCAACACAATATTATTTCATACTCTTTATTTTTATTTTTCAAAACTTTTCTATTTTTTTCCTTTCTTTTTCTATCACTTTTTTTTCTTCATTTCTTTTTTCACTTTTTTTTCTTTTTCTTTTCAACCTCATAGCAATCAACCAATAAACCAATAAATTTTACACTGTCATCAAATAAAAATTTATTGTTGTCATGACTTGACAGAATATATTGTAAGTTTTTAAAAAAAATTATAGTCTGACTTGACAGAATTAACAATGTAAACAGTGCATCAGCCATTTTCTCTTTAAAAAAATATTAACAATGTTTCTAGTGCAAAAATGGAAACAAAGATTACAACTAAAATGAAGAAAAAAATGTAAAATAAAATAAAATATATAAAATACAACTAAAAAAATTAAAATAAAATAAATTTAACATGGTTTTCTTTAGGATTTTTCTGATATTATGAAGGAAAAATTAAAATGAAAAAAAATCTAAATAAAGAAATATGAAAAGTTAAGACCAAAATCCCATAATAAGGACCTTTTAGGGGTAATCAAATGAATTTTAAGAAAGTTTCATAACAATCAGAATGAGTAGTCTGAAAACTAAATATTTTTAATAAGAAAGACGAAAACAACGAAAAATAAACATGCTATAAAAGCAAATATATATACCAGTATTTTAAGTATATAAAACTAGTAACAAAGATAATCAGAATGATAACTATTAACTAGGCAATATCAATAACACACTGTATCACATAAACTAGCTGAAAAATTTAAGGAGTTTATCAGCATCTCCTTTCATCTAGTTGGAAATAAGCCACCAATCTAGAGAATCATAGATTACATATTTGCAACAGTAGTTTGATAAGTACTTCATTTGAGTACTTGTGCATATGTCGAGTTCCAAAATGGTTTTGTTTCCATCATATCAGTAGTCAAGATGGTAAAAAAACAGACAGTACGAACTAACTATTCTACAGGAACAATAACCTTCATCTGAATTCATAACCCAGATGGGTTCAGCTTCCACCTTGAATTTCATCATGACCATCAACATCTTTTCCCTTGCTATCTGAAATCACAAAAAATAGTGTGAGTATGATTTGAAATAGGACTTGTACAATCTTATTATCACACCCCACATGCCTCTGTCCAACCGAGATTCAGATTGTGTATCGGAATACCTATTTTCTGATTCGCGAATCGAATCTTATTATGAATCGTAAGATACATTACCAATGAAATAGTAGCAAACCAGAAATAAATAACAAGCAAGAAATTGAAGAGAAACTGGGTGAAGTAACTTGTAAGCAACAGCTCCAATGCACCTATCACTTGGAAAGGACGATAGTAACGAGGAGCAAGCTTAGGACTCTGATTCAGTGAGCCAATAAAAGTTTGCAAAAACTCCAACCACCTACTGCAAACTCTGTTGCTCTATCGTGCCATAGTCACGAATAACCTTTTGATTATACCCAAATAAGTCCAAGGTGTCATGAATTAGGGCTTCATCTTTTCTCTATTGCATTCTATCCTAAACACAATGATATTATTGATTACACATAATTACACCTCGGAGACAAATATTCTAATGTCTAATTTATCTAACATATTATAAGAAAATAAATTATTTACAATGAAAGCGGACATCAACTTCTCATAAACATCCCCCTCAAATTTATGAGGCTAGTTAATGAGCAATAATTTGCTAACAAGTTGATGAAATGGGTGTCGCTCAACTTTGGCAAGATTTCTGCAACTTGAAAATGAGTATTAACGTAGGGAAGTCATAAGTCATCATAGACGTCATAGATTAAATGACAATCGACTTTAATATGTTTGGTGTCTTCATGAAAAACGAGATTTGCCATGATTTGGATGTCACTTTCGTTCACAACATTAAGTGATGTTGGCCCCGTTTGAGGAAATCAAAGTTCATCTAAAAGAATTTGACAACATAAAGTGATGTTGACGTTATTTGAAGAAATCCAAGCAGCAGACACAACACAATACTTTGATTTACTAGAAGATTTAGCAACCCGTACTTTCTTTTTACTTTTCTACGAGATCAATGAAGAGCTAAGAAACAAGTACCAACAAACGACATATTGCATAATGTTAGAATACCCTGCCTAATTTACATCACTTTTAAGCACTCGATTTAGGAGCTAATCCAATGAGAGAATGAACCAAGGTGAGAGGTTCTTTCCAAATAGAAAACTATACGATGAACCGTTGTCAAATGAAAATATTGAATGAATGAACATGGCATGATTCCCCAATCATCTCGCATTGTCAATTTGTCACTCCACAACAAAATGGAATTGATGAGCACAAAAACATATACTTAAAGGAAGTTGCCCAAGCATTACTATTTGTTAAGAGTCCCGCATCGGAAAATATATGGCACGAACATGTGCTTATAAGCGGGGACAATCCTCACCCCACAAGCCGTTTTGTAGGGTTGAGGAGTTAGGCTCAACCCACACATTCTAAGATGATATCAGAGCCCGGTTTAAGATCTGTTGGACCACTCCGCTATCAGACCACCCACCATTTAGTTGCACGTTTCAGACATTCAATCCTGAGCGTGAGAGGGGATATTAAGATTCTCACATCGAACAATATATGGCTTGAACATGTGCTTATAAGTGGGGGCAATCTTCACCCTGCAAGCCATTTTTGTAGGGTTGAAGAATTAGGCCCAACCCACACATTCTAAGATGGTATCAGAGCCCGGTTAAGATTCGTTGGGCCACTCCGCTATCAGGCCACCTATCCACCATTTAGTTCCACGTTTCAGACATTCAATCCTGGGCGTGAGCGAGGGTATTAAGAGTCTCACATTGGACAATATATGACCTAAACATGTGCTTATAAGTGGGGGCAATCCTCACCCTACAAGTCGGTTTTATAGGTAGGCTCAACCCACACATTCTAAGACTATTTGAAATGAAAGTTCCAAAGATTTTACTCACTGCTACCCATTTAATTAATTGCATGCAATTATCTCTTTTAAATGGTGTTATCCCATATTTCAAGTTCTTTTAGCGAACATATTCTCGTCGTCCCAAGGTTTCAAAAGAGGATTTTAAAAGTTATATTATAATAATATATTACTAGAGTTCATTATTATGTATATAGGTTTGACCCATTTGTCTTTCTTATGTATTACTCTTTTAAACTATTAATATAAATATGAGAGGTCACTACTCTCTTTCTAATTGGTTATTCATATTACTACTCTCTTTCTACATAAGGCGGGGAGAATACATGTATTGACTGACTTACTTGCTCAACGAGAAAATATAAGTCTGACAAGTAATAGTCAAGTAATTAAAATTCACCATAAATTGTTGATACAATAAAGAGCTGACCAAAGATTATCATCATCATGATGGTATTTAACATTATCCTCGAGGAGTATTCATTGGATTAGTCAATTGGAGATCAACCATAGGAATCAAATTTGCGACATACTTATGTTGATGGATAAGAATGCATATGGGAGTAGAATGAACCTCAAGACTAAGAAAATAATGCAGGCTTCCAAGACCTACCGTATGAAATGAGGTTTGTAACTCTTGTTTAAGTCATTTAATGGAAGCATATTCAGAATTAGTAGTAATAATATCATCAACTTACTGAAGCGGAACAATACTTTGTAGATGTGTGATGAATAAATAGAAAGGAATCATATTGAGTTTGAATAAAGGAACTCAAGTAAAGTGCAATACAATTTCTCATACCAAGCTCCAGTATTTGTTTCAAACCATATAAGAAATGTTTGAACCACCATTAGATGTAGAGGATAGACTTGGATGAGGAGTCATACAAATATTTTCAGTCAAACCACCATAAAGAAGTCAATTTTTCACATCCATTTGTTAAAGAGACCACTCATAAGAAACTGACATAAAGAGCATAATGCTATCGTTAAAGTTAGGGCTGACAATGAACCAAACCAACTCGGAAGTAGTTCGAGATTCGATTAGGTAATTAATTCGTTGGACTTGGTTCATGAACCAAATGAGTCGAATTTGAGCTCAAAATTAAATTCGTAACATAAATAAGTTGAAATTGAGTTATGTATAGTTTGATTCGTTTGGTTCATGAACTGGCTCGATATATAAGTTTCATGAAGACATCCATACTTAGTTTTCATATTTATTTATATCATTTGAAAGATGATAAAATAATTTACAATTCTATTGATTAAAAAAAAAATCCAAATTCAACATAGTAAAATATGTTACAAACTTAAGTTATAACATTTCATTATTTGCTCATATTACCTACTTTTGATGATAATATCTTGAATTATAAATATTATTGAGATGAAACTTATATTATATAAAAGCTAAAAATATTGTCTATAATTTTTGTGAATACAATAAGAATAAATAAGATTGTTTTAAATAAGATTGTTCTAACAAGTCGAGTTTGAGCAGGGAAAAAAGTTCGTGATGAACTCGAACTCGATTAATTCTTAACGAATTTGAGCTGAAAAAAAAGTTCGTGATGAACTCGAACTCGGCCAATTCTTAACAAGTCGAACTGAGCTGAGGCGAGTTCGACTCGACTCATTTCCAACCCTAGTTACACCAACTGGTGCAAGGCAACCAATCGAGTTTTGTGATGGCCAAGGGTTCAATCTGAATTTAATTTCGTAGGATATTCATTTGCACACTATAAGTTATCAAGAAGGATCTCGAAATTAATGATTTGGATATAAGTATGGTCCTTGATAGAACATTATGGCGAAAGTTGATCTATGTAGCCGATTTCACCTAATGGGATAAGGCGTACTTGTTATTTGTAGGATAAATTCATTTGCACCGTATAGGCTTTAATATCAAGAGGACAAGAAACAATATTTCATGTGAAATTTTCTTTGAGTCTCAAATTCATCATTTGTTGCTTTGATCATGCGCACATCTTTAACCTCCCATCTTTAACCTCCCGTGAAGAAATACATTTTTCACATCCATTTGGTGAAGAGACCAGACCACCCATAAGAAGTTGCTATAGAGAGCATAGTGCGAACAAATGTGATTATGACAACTGATGCAAAAGTCTCATCACAATTAATCTCACATTCCTCCTTGTTTTCTAAGGCAACCAATTGAGCTTTGTAATGGCAGAGGGATCAATCTGAATTCAGTTTCATATAACACATTCATTTGCATCCTTATGGATTTGATATCAAGAGGAAAAGAAATAATATATCATGTAAGATTTTCTTAAAGAGTCTGAAACTTTTCATTCATTGTTTTGATCATACGCGCATCTTTAATAGCTTGTGAATAACAAGTTGGAAAAGATATTGATATGCCTAACTATATAAGACCCATTTAGAGTCACCCAAAAAATGAAATAAGAGAAAAGGGAAAGTTGGTTACAAAGAAGAGAAAGAAAATGAAATGTTTTATAGGGGTAGAGGGCTATGAAGCACAAACACCCCGAAAAAAGAACCTGACACTGACACGGTGAAATCGATAATAATTTAAAGAAATGGATATATTAAACGTAATCACGTGCGTCGCTGCAGGTATCTGATACTGACACATACACGTCTTTTTTCAGAGGTGTTAATGCTACATAAGTGGAGGATAGAATAATGAAGCATCTTGGAGAATCATTGTTTTAGTTATGGGTTGAGATCATTTGTTTCTCTAAAAGGGATTAGCTCTAGGGTAGTATGAATCCTAATTCACCTGTAATTTCTATCTACATTTCAATAATATTACATATTTTACGCTCACTCTGAAGTGTTCTTCCTTTAATTTGTAGTATTGATTATGGGTTCTTATTAGACATGCTAGAGAGAGGGGAAGTCAGAGAAGTATGAGGAATCATACCTGTCTGGTGAATATCTATCTGGTGCTCGAAATGTTCTAACAGAATGTCGTTGTTCAACAAGTACAGGTTCAGGTGGCAGATCAGCGTCGTGAAGGGGCTTGGAATCTTTCTCTCTGTGTTGTCTGATATATACATTCCCTGATTTAAAATATTCTATAGATTGAGGCGTGATAGAAAAATTGAGAAGAATAGCAATTTCATTCATGGCAT